CCGCTCGAGGCTGCGCGGCGGGGGCTGGGGCGCGGGTGGGAAGCCGGGGCTGTGCTGGCGGGTTTTCCCGCGGCCGCGCAGCAGCGGCGGAGCGGGAGAGGTAGCCCCGCCCAGCGGCGGGACGGCGCGGCCCTGCTTCCCACAGAGCTCCGGGCCCGCCCCAGGAGGCGCGGGGCGCGGGGCGGGAGCCTCGCAGGGCTCTCCACTCCGGCGGGGCCTCGCCGCCGCCCCCAGCGCGGGAAGCCGGGCGGTGTCTTCTTGCGGAAGGGAAATGAAACCCGATATTAGAACCGGGGAAGCCCTTACCCTTCCCGGCCCTCCAGCCAGCTCATGTGTCTTAGATCGGATGAACTTACCGTTAAAAAGATAGTCTTACAACTCAGTTCCTTTTAGGATGACGGGTTACATTTTAACTTGCAGGGTATATAACAGACGATTAAACTTGAGTTACCAAAGGCAGCTGACTCCAGGCTGTCACCCTTGATCAAGTGGCCACGGCTGAGGCGCGAGGCTTTAAGGGAATGGGTCGGTTCCTAATTCTGTAACGAGTGCCGTCTTCTGTTCTAGGTCCTTGACAAAGACCCATTGTTGAGTGAAGCTCTAGTGCAGTGTGTTCATGCCAAGATTTTATAAGCGACATTTTCAAACTATGTGAAGATCTGTTTAAAGAAGATTTATTCTTCTGTGATGGAGAAGTATGAAAAAATTGGGAAAATTGGCGAAGGATCCTATGGAGTTGTTTTCAAATGCAGAAACAGGGACACGGGTCAGATTGTGGCCATCAAGAGGTTTCTGGAATCAGAAGATGACCCTGTCATAAAGAAAATCGCCCTTCGAGAAATACGCATGCTCAAGGTAATGGATTTTTTAAAAATTAATTAATTAATTAATTTAGGCTGTGTTGGGTCTCCATTGCTGAGTGCAGGCTTTCTCTAGTTGCGGCGGGGGCTACTCTTTTTTTTTTTTTTTTTTAACATCTTTACTGGAGTATAATTGCTTTACAATGTTGTGTTTGAAGTGGATCAGCTATATGCATACATATATCCCCATATCCCCTCCCTCTTGCGTATCCCTCCCACCCTCCCTATCCCACCCCTCTAGGGGCTACTCTTCGCTGAGGTGCAGCGGCTTCTCCTTGCAGTGGCTTCTCTTGTTGTGGGGTACGGGCTCTAGGCACTCAGGCTTCAGTAGTTGTGGCTCGCGGGCTCTAGAGCGCAGGCTCAGTAGCTGTGGCACTCGGGCTTAGTTGCTCTGCTGCATGTGGGATCTTCCCAGACCAGGGATCGAACCCCTGTCCCCTGCAATGGCAGGCAGATTCTTAACCACTGCTCCACCAGGGAAGTCCTGGTAATGGATTCTTTAAAGTGAATTTTCAAGGACTAACAAAATTAAAGTGAGTCGTGTTATGTGAAATAAATGCCTTGGGATGTGGCCACATCTCCTTCCTTCACGGACTTCTGTCCTCAGTGACACAAATGGGACATCTGTGCGCGAGTCACCAATTATATAATGAATTATAAAGTGGAGACGTTAAGTGCAGCGAACGATGGTATTTACTTTCAGACTTGCTGTGGAATATTTTATTTTTCTTCCCAGTGGCTTCTTTCCCATGTCACCTGTAGATCTGGTTCATGAAAAGCCATCAACTTTTATAGTACAGGAAATTTCCATGATTTTTAAACTTCTAGACTAGCTTCTGTTGATGTTCTGAGTCCATGAAGAGAATTAATCATTCACCTGTTTTCAAACAGCTAGAAAGCTGACAGGTTTTCATTATGCCTCACATTTATCTACTGCTGAACTGTATAATGTCTTGTCTCCAGAAGAAGAATTTTTCTCAAAATAGTGAAATGATTGCTTTAAAAATGTTCATCAGTTAACTCTTGGAGACCATGATATGGGGGGGAGGGGAGTTGTTTATTATAAGCTGAAAGTATTTTTTTTCCCGGAATGGAAATGAAGAAGGAAAGTATCTTTCCTTCTTTTCTGAATTTCTGTGAAGATGAAACCCAGATCCTACCCTATGTAGAATGCGCCCTGTAATGAATGCAGTGTGGGTTAACTTTCAACAGATTAACTTTCTCCGTAGGGGTTGGTTTTTTTTTTTTTTTTTTTTTGCGGTACGCGGGCCTCTCACTGTTGTGGCCTCTCCCGTTGCGGAGCACAGGCTCCGGACGCGCAGGCTCAGCGGCCACGGCTCACGGGCCCAGCCGCTCCACGGCATGTGGGATCTTCCCGGACCGGGATATGAACCCGCATCCCCTGCATCGCCAGGCGGACTCTCAACCACTGCGCCACCAGGGAAGCCCAGGGGTTGGTTTTAAGTCTTCTTCTCCCCATGAATTGCGTGTGTGGGGTTGTCTCTGGATAAGGATCCCAAATGGGAAGTGGAGGGCTTTGGATAAATTAAAACGGGTGGGGACGACTTTCTCTATTTGGGTCTAGGACATTCTTTACCACTGGATGTTGTCAATTCTGAGAAGACACTTCCAAAGCCCCTGTGAAGTACTCCCCTAGGAAAGAGAGAGACAAGCAGTGTTTGCCCATCCCACCGCCTGGTTGCCCTGCCCTCCCCACTCTGTACACAGGGAGAGAGAGGGTCTCACTGTTTCTCTGGGGCCCATGGATGTTTTTCACTTTCTCAGGCTTTCCCTAGCGTAGAAGGTGATAATTGTATTTCAAAGGGCCCATTTACTCCAAAGAAAAGCCAGTCTGTTTCTAGTGGAGAGATATTCTTTTTCTGATTCTGAAGGTCACCTGCGAGCGCCTCTCTGAAACCTCTCACTATTCTTTAGCAATACAGTGTTTACAAGTTTAGTCCCTGAATTACTTCAGTTCCCCCAGGATGGGGACCTCGCCTCTAGATCTCTGTATCAACCACTTGGCATGTAATACCAATAAATGTTATTGTTGGATTGAAAAAAAGATGTTAACAAAATAAACTCTTAGGAAGGGTAGATGTTGCCAATAAATTAGGAAGTCAGATGTGTTCTCTTGAGTAACTGAATATTGATGTCCTCTGAAGGATACAGTTGACTGCGCAGGAGCCTGATTACAAAGCACACAGCACTCCATTCTCCAAAATCAAGTGCACAGCTGAGACTCCCCTGCTCTGTATCAGGTGATGGGACTAGATTATCAGTAGAGCCTGTCCCTTCAAGCCCTAACTTTTCCGAATTCTGTGATATTCCTAACACATAATGGGTGCTTAAATATTTGCTGGATAAATGAATTGAGGGTTTGTTAAATGAAGTCATACTTTCTCCATTTACTTATTCAGTAAATATTTATGGAGCTCCATTGTACCTAAAACAATGTTTATGTGAAGTTGTACATCCTGTCTTTCAGATGCTTAACCGGTGGAAGATGAATTTCCCCTTAGCTCTTACACCCAATAGACTGGGTTCCTAATGGGCAGGGCCTGTGTCATTCACCTTGTCTCCCCATGCCTGTCATGAACCCTCTAAATAAAGTGTTTGGAGCCTTGCTTGAACTAGACTTTGAAATGTTTAGGGAGACATGGAATAAGAGATAAGGCATTCAGGGCAGACAATCTCTCCTAGGGAAAAAAGAGGTGCATAAGTGGAAAACAGTATATTGAAGGAAAACAGGTAATAACCCCAAAGTCTTAGCCAAGATGCCTGTTGGGCTAATAGGCCTGGGAGAAAAGAGAAGGAAAGGAAGCCAGCGTCCATTAGGAGGGGGTGTGAGGAATTTCTTGGAAAACATGTCTGGCCCTGGGATAAGTGATGATTAGCACATAGCTTCACCTTGGTCCCAGGTGGCCTTTGGGGTTTGGAGCCTGCCTTGGGGACATGTTGTTGTCCCTGAGAACAGGAAACTGCTGAGGTCTAGGCTAGTGTTTTAGGGCCCCATCTGAGCTGCATTCAAGGCAGAGCTCTAGGGCCCATGGAAGGGGAATACTAAACCCGAACCAAGCACAGTTCCATGGGCCCAGGTTCAAGGGCTCAGGAGCTCAGTGAGTGTGAGTTCCTAAGATTTTCCTTGCACACCCCTCACAGAACTGGGGCTGTTAATGACCCCTGCTAAGGTCAAGAACTAGGAAGACTGAGGCTGAAGGTACCTCAGTGACCTTAGCAGGTGAGAACAAGCAAGGGCTGAGGCCCAGACTGCTCTTATTATGATAAGGAAAGCAAGAAAGGTAGATTAAGACCAGCTATAGAAGGCTTTGAATGCCAGGCTGAGGAGTCTAGCTTTCACGTGAAAAGAGGGAAGCCAGCCAAGATTTTTTATTAGAAAGTTATCATTTGCAGACTTTTGAATTTCATGGATCAATAAAATTTCAAAAAAACATTTTTTTTTTTTTACAGATTGGTCAGCATTTTAAGAGACTGGGTTATCACCATCACTTCATAAATGAAAGGACGTTTTAATATTTTAAAAAAACTAGGAAAGACCCAATTTTAGGAAAAAAGCAGTCTTCCTGAGAGAGTAGTTGACAACTAAAACAACATCTCTATATACATACATTTCTCAGGTGTGTGAGAGTGTATGAGTGTAGGGGTGTGTGTGTGTGTGTGTGTGTGAGAGAGAGAGAGAGAGAGAGAGAGAGAGAGAGAGAGAGAGGGAGATCATTGCCCTTATTTTTCTCATTTCATTATCCATTGATGAAAATGAAGACATCATCTGTTTTGTGCAGCCTAAATTTCATGAAAGTTAGTATGATGTCTGCGAACAAAGAGACTCCCCAGATCAGATGATATCCTACTTATAGGATCTATCTGATACAATGAAATACTAATACCACAAAAGAACTGAATGGTCCCTTGGATTTTTTTTTTTTTTTTTGGCTGCGTTGGGTCTTTATTGCTGCGCACGGGCTTTCTCTAGTTACAGCAAGCAGGGGCTACTCTTCGTCATGGTGCATGGGCTTCTCATTGTGGTGGCTTCTCTTGTTGCAGAGTGCAGGCTCTAGGTGAGCAGACTTCAGTAGTTGCAGCATGAGGGCTCCATAGTTGCAGAACGCAGGCCCTAGAGTGCATGGGCTTCAGTAGCTGTGACATGTAGGCTCAGTAGTCGTGGCACATGGGCTTAGTTGTTCCGCGGCATGTGGGATCTTCCCGGACCGGGGATCGAACCTGTGTCCCCTGCATTGACAGGCGGATTCTTAACCACTGTGCCACCAGGGAAGTCCCTGGATTTTATGTTATAATAGAATTTGGCATGTATCTGTCCTCAGAGAATTGCTTGTATGTTTTTTAAACCATTTATTTAATGATTTAAAGCAACTCCCAATAGCTGCTGTCACTCTTTTAAAAATTACAGTTGTTTCCATTAAGCAGATAAGATCATGGGAGTGAATTGTCCAGCAGTCAATTGCATAATTATTAAGGTACCACATCTACAGTGTTTCTCGTTCTTGATGTGAAAGCATATATGAAGATGTAACTATACATTGGTAAATGATTTTAAAGATAATAATTATCAAGAAACCTATTTTGCTAATATTTTTAGAAAACATTTTTTCTGAAAATTTGAAACACTTTTCAAATAACATTACTTCACGCCATTTGGGGGGAAAAGTGTGACACATTTTTATGAGATAAATTCAGTATTTGTGCTAATAAACTGCTACCTAAACTAAATGTAATGCGCTCTTCACCAAGAGGTCCTACTGCAGTCAACCCTTTAATGTTTTCATTTGAATCTTATTTTTTCCAGGCTTTTAGAAAAATAAACAATTGCTCCAGTTAAAGTTAGGCAGCTCGTACTCTACTTTAAGAACATTAAGTACCATTCTAGTGACAGTAATAAAATTATACTGCCATACCTGAGGTCAAAGCAACTATCCTACCCTTTCTCAAGCTCACTTTCCACTGTGGAAAAAAAAAGAA